GCCTGGCTAGCAGAGCCTAGGGCAAGAGCGTGAATGGGAGATGCAGCCCCCAAAGGCAGCCCATGACCACCTCCTCCAGCTGGACCTCGCCTTACAGCTGTGAACATCTGTCAGTGGTCTGGTGAGCTCTCCAGTCAGGTTAACAAGTAAGATCGCCTGGCACACCTATTTACATAACTGTATTGGCTCTGGTACAGTATCCTTTCAAACAGAGATTTTCATTGCTTCTTATAGAAAGAATTGACCCTTTTCTGGTAGAGAGCTTTTTATTTCTCAGGACGCAGTTCTCAGAAGAAAAGGTGGAAAGGTGTCTTCACAGCCTTCTCCTCCCACCTACACTGAGCTTCCTTTGCTGTTGTCTTCCCTTGCTTGGAGTTGAGTTGGCTGTTTTTCTGGTCTTGACTGTTTAAATTTTTCATCTTCAAGTTCTCGACTGACTTCTTTGTTCTAAAACTTAGCAAAATGTTTTCAAGTTACATAAGCTTCATTTAGAAATGTTGGTGTTATTCCCCGTGTCTGGGATGGGAGGAATAAGGGGAAAGGAGATGGGGGCCTTGTCTTGGGCCGGAGAGGGAAAGGAGAGAGGAGGAGGGAGAGCGAGCCAGAAGAGAGGGAGGGGAATGGAAGGGGAAGGAAGGACTGGGGCAGAAGATCTGTAAGAACTGCTTGTTACGGTACTTTTCCGATCTAAACTTCAATAATGTTCTTAACACAAAACAACTTCTATTTGCACATTCACTAAAATTAAAAGCAAAACATCTCTTTCTTTGGAACTTCCAAGGCAGGGTCCTGCTGTATTCATTTCTGTGGATCATTTAGGAATTTCTGGTTAGATGTACTGAAACAAGAAAGTGAAACAGCAGATTTCTGTGGAATTTATGTCTATAATTATGAGCTTATTTTTGCATGTTGCAAAAAGAAAATTTGCATTTATTTTGAAACATTCCAAGATCTTTAAAAATACGGAATTTCATAGCATTTCTTAAAGGAATAGTAAGTTCCCTTTCACTTTTTAAATCTGTGCTGTTCACTAAATCCAGAAATTCAGTACAGTTTCCCAGGATACCATAACCAATTTTTCTTCTATGAATGATACGTGCCAGGTGGCGAGGTAAGCTGGACATACTGGTAGAAAAGTTACATTACAGCAAATCCTTATCAGAAAATTTGAAAAATAAAACAGGATGGGATCTAGTTTAAAGACTGGGTTCAGCACCAGAAAAGAAAAAAAACAGCAAAAAATGCTATTACAACATTTAGAAATTAATTACCTTTTGGTATCTTAACATAAATAGGTGAATGTATCTGCTCTCTGTCTCTCTTGTTTTTTTTAAACTTTATATAAAGTTTGAAGTATGAATGCAGAGTGGGAATTTGTTTTGTTGTTTCCTGGAAATCTACTTTCTTCAGGATGTGTGTTTACTTTTTCCTGTGTCTCTTTGGCTTTCATTTCCTACCTACCCATATACTTTGTAACCCGACACACAGCTCCTCAGTTCCTTTCTTTCTATACTTACTTCCATAGGTATATTTAGAAATAAAGCAGTATCAGTTTTGAGAAGAAAACTTCACCAGAATACGTTACTACAGCCAATGTTGATGATAGTCAGCTTTGTTTAGAGAACCTTATCAAATCTGGAAAAGATTTTCTCTAGGCTGTTATAAGATTGCGTGTGTGTGTGTGTGTGTGTGTGTGTGTGGCTTTTTGAGACTGCTACCAGCTACCGTCATTGTCCAAATTATGAAGACAGCATGTTTATGAGCAATGTGGATGTACTCAAATAACAATAATTTAATTTTTAATCAATAACCCCATTCCTTAGAATAGGCAGGCTGCGGTAATCACTTTAACTTTGAGAGAGTGAAACTAAGTAAGGAAAGCTGTAACTAAAGAAATCCCAAGAGTATTTTTATGTTAGATCCTATCTAAAGAAAATCAATATTACATTCAGCAGCGTTCAATCTTGTACGCTCCAGGGAAGCACTTTACTTGTCCATTTAATTAATAGTAAATTCAATACAATAGCAAGTCTCCTGAGAATTGGTTACCACAAAATGATATAAAAGATGAACAATCTCAGTGGTTATTTGTAGTATTTCACTTACCCTGAAAGATTAATCTGAGCAGTGTTTTGTTATGAATATTAATGCCTTGATTTACTTATACCTTTATTTAATTTAAAATGCCTTCCCCCACCCTTAGCGTACTATGCCTGTCTTTCTTACTGCAGGAGTCCTGGTGCTGGGTGGTCGTGCCCGGCCCCTGACGTGCCTGGCTCAGCATCAGACACCTCTCGCGGAAGTGGTCCCCTTGGTTTCTGTCTCATGCCATTGGCCGGACTGCACTGAAATGTGCTCATATAATGTGTTAGTATTATCACTTAGTTATTGCGGACTGATCAGGCCTGCAATCTCCCAAACAAGTGGACTGCAAAGGCGTAAATAAATGAGTCAAGTGGTAGAATTTTAGGGCTCCAGGAAGTTCAAAGCCCTTAACAGAATTTGAGATTCTCTGGAGGCTAAGACAAAGATCTTCTCTGGGTGACTGTATTTATGTAATTATCAGAACCAAGGTGAGGAATACTGAAGAAAGGTGGGACTCTGTTCAAGGGCTTCTTCAAGTAAGACCTTACGTTAATTCAGGAGAACTATGTTATCTCCAGGAAAGTTTCCACCAGGAGTGAGATGCCTGCAGCTATAGTCTGTATCTAGTTAATGAAGGTTGGAGCCAGGTGTCCTTAGCTGTGGCCTTGTCTTTTTTTTTTTGGTTTTTTTGGTTTTTCTCCGGTACCGGGAACCGAGCTCACGACCTTGCACTTGCCAGGCAGGCGCTTTTGCCGCTGAGCTAAATCCCCAGCCCCTGTGGCCTTGTCTTATTTTTCGAAGCATCTTGGTTTCACCCGACTTTACAGGCCTCAGTCAGGGCCAGTGACTCACAGAGGTTCACTTACTATGAGTCCGCCACCCGTCTCCAGACAAGGAACCTAGGCCTTAGGCAGACTCACAAGTAAACATGGAAAGCCCACTGGTTAATATTAAATCCTGCTCAGAGCTGCTTTGTAGTGGTCTCCATCACTTATAACGTGTATGATATACAATGGCATGAAAGTGATAGTGTGCCCAATGAAATGGGTAAATTGAACAGTGTCAGAAGACCTGAGTCTTTTTTTTTTTTTTTTTTTTCAGTACTGGGGATTGAACCTAGAGCCTTTTACACTAATCTACATACCTACCCCCTTTAAAACTTTTCACTTGGAGATACTTTTTCAACCACTCACTTAGATGTGCAGGCTGGGTATGGGCGTGCACCAGTGTTTTTCTCTCTTGTTAAATGAGCCCCACTACAGCTCCTGGACCTGGTTTATATTAGAAAAATATTGTTAATGCACCTGTAAGCCCAATTTTGGCTCTGTGGTAAAGAGAGGTAAAAATAGAACTCCTCAGGTGATTTCTTTTCTCAAACAGTATCTTTTCTGCCAAGATTTTTCATAGAAGTAGAAAAGTACAAAGGACCTTGAAGATCATTCAGAGCAGCCCATAGACCTGGAAGCATTATAAGAACCTCTGGTAATGTTCAACCAAATAAAAAATTTTTAAGACCCAGGGGCTTGCAGGTTACAGAAACTGTCCTTTCTTGGCGTGCGCCATATTGAATCACTTCTGCAGGGCACTGGCAGCCTCTAGAGGAGATCGGGATAAATGGCTGTTTTTGTTAAGAACTAAACTGACTTGATTCTATTAGCTGTAATTTTGGGGAAGAAAACAGCACTGTAGACAAAAGTAGTTTAAAAAGACAGCAGATTTACACGATGGAGGAAATCAAAGAACCATTAGTCTGGATCACAGTGTCAATCTTCATGACCGCAGTGCCCTGTGTGTGAGTCCTACCCACACCTCCAGGCAGACATGGCATAAACCAAGTGTTACTTAAAAATCATGTTGAAGCTGGGTGTAGTGGCATGTATCTGTAAGCACAGCACTTGGAGGCTGAGGCAAGAAGATTGTCATTTTGAGTCGAGCTTGGGCAACTTAGGAAAAAGCTGTTTCAAAAATAAAAAATGACTGAGAACATAGCTCAGTGCAAAGGAAGGCCCTAGGTTGAGTTCCCAGTGCATGCGTACATACATACATGCATGCATACGTGAATAACTGTCATGTTGGGTAGACCAAATTAAAAGTATAGTTTGCAGTGCAGCTCCTGCCTGGCAAGCATGAGGTCCTGAGTTTGATTCCTGGTTCCCCTGCAAAAGGCATAGTTTGCACCTTTTATTGTGGGAACCTTTATACAAATCATTTTTGTATTTTAGTGAGTAATGTAGGACACTGGGGAATTTAGTTTGTTCTAAGCTAATGGCCCAGCTATAAGAATAAAAAAAGTATTTATTGACTAATTTATTACTTTTCCAAGATTTCAATTTTAGAAGATAATTATTTCACAGGTTTAAAGGAATTATTTCACAATCCTTACTTGATTGGAGAGTGTGAATACAGAGAAATTATCTAAAATATTACTCCACCCAGTAATGTGCTTAGGATTCATACACTTACTCTCATGTTGACTTTAAAATAAAAACTAAGCTTGGCAATCACAGGGTAAAGAGAGGGTGCAGTGCGGTCCCTTCCGGTGATCCCCATCCTATCACAGTGTACATGTACAGCTCCCCTAAGCTCGGAAAATGTGTGCATCTGTTCTTTAGCCCTTAACGATATTCCTTTTCTCTGCTTCAGGCATTCTTCTTGCATACCATTTGTTTATCCTTTCTTAAAATGTACTGGCTAGTATAGACGTGTATAGTTTGCTGAACTGTACTGTCTTAGTCGTGATTTGCCTGTGGTATGTGCTTTGCAGCTGTGTCGGAGAAGGGTGCGGAAGATGCACCGTGGAAATGTTTACTCCGCACACCTCTAGGCAGCTCAGATTTGACCCTTGTTCCTTGCCTCTGTTCGCTGAGATCTGCTGACCGTGTGGACACCTCACTCACCGCTCTTCTCTCTCGCAGAACCTGGATGCCCTGCACGACCACCTGGCTACCATCTACCCGGGCATGCGTGCCCCTTCCTTTCGGTGCACCGATGCGGACAAGGGCAAAGGACTCATTCTGCACTACTACTCCGAGAGAGAGGGGCTGCAGGACATCGTCATTGGAATCATCAAAACAGTTGCTCAGCAAATCCACGGCACAGAAATAGACATGAAGGTAATGAACGTGATGGAGACTTCCGAACACAGACGACATTTGGGATAGAAGAAAGATACGCTGAGTTTACCTATAGCTATTGCTGCTAGTGGACTCGCTGGAAAACACAGATGTGTGTATACATGTATGTGCATTACCTATGTATACGTGATTTATGTATACACACATTTCTGTATAATATGCAGAACAGTGGGAACAGCAGCAGTCTTCTATATTTGGCCTTCAAGCACATTATGCAGGATATTTTTTTCCTTGTGGCAGATTTGTCTTTCTAATTATACATTGCTTAAGGGCAAGAAGAAGTGTAGTTTGCATTCACCCTGAGCATACACCAGTGTGGGCGAGAGACTGCACTGTGGTCCGCAGGGTGCGGGATACCTGCTCACATGCGAAGATCACGTAAAGTTAGATACTATTTTACAGAACACCTTTCTCTGTGGATTTCTTTTCCTCTGCTTTGACATGGAGTTGGCATGTCTTGTCACCTAGAATTGGGCTCTTTCTCTCACTCTCTTTCTTAAAATCAAGTTACTTTGTTGAAAGAAGCCAGGTCTGACACTGTACTTTAAAAAGTTGTGCTGCTACTGATAGTACGCAGCTGAGTTTGAATGCTAATTTCAAGGTACTAGCACAGCAGCTGCGTGAAGCTCGCTTGTTTTCTATTGCTGACCCATACGGTCTCTCCCTGCCAGCCGCTTTTGTGTGTGCTCTGTGTATTTAGCCCTAAGTGCCCTTTTGCCTGGGCTGTAAGCTTGAACCTAAGTGGGGTCAGGAGTACGGACCCTATTGTGGTTGTCTTTCTTTATGGGAAATCTAGTAGGCAGTGCTTCTCAGCTAGCGTACTTGTTCTCTAACTCAGGCGAGAGCCTAGAATGCTTCAGTACACTATTACGTAGAATAAAATTTGCAACATTTGCATTAATTAGAAAAATACCTCATACTTAACCTCATCGTGTCGGAGTTTATTGTTTCTTTCCTTTTGGGAGTTGGTGTGGCAATTCTTACAGGACACTTGGAGATTTGCATGTGTCCTGTGAATTTCTCTACACCTAGAAGGAAGGCGAGACTATGTTTATCTCAGAATAAGCAAATCCAGACACATGTGAAGATTGAAATAATGGATAAAGCTTGAAATTTATGCATGGTTGGGAATCTCACTGGAATTCAATCAAAGTGGCATATGCCTTTTATTTCCAATCTCTTGATCTTGACCCCAAACTGACACAACGTCTACCCTGAATGAACTGTACTGGGGCTGAGTACAGATTATGTCTGCTGTTGGGTTTGTCTTTCATTGAGCTGAGAAGAGCAAGATGCCAGCACACAGAAAGCTCAGAAAGAAACACAAATGAGGACACTTAGAAACTGCAGTTACTGTGGCTATTACGGGGAAATGACGGCTTTCACACACTCTGTACAAAACTCAAGCTTTTTAATTACACAGTCCTGTTTCTACAACAGTTGGTGTCTTTAGGGTCTTTATTTAAATGATTCAATGTGGACTTTGAAACATTTGCATTTCATAAATACATTTTGCATATGCCACTTTTAAAAAGTCACTGTTTTAACTTCTTTAGTTATTAGATCAAATTCAAAAATTTAATGGGTCCAGAGATGCCAGACATTTGAAATGACATATGAAATACTACATCATGACCAAAATGATACACCACTGAGAGGTTGAAAATATCACAAATGCAATTCTTTTTTCCAGTTTGATAAAAAAATTCAAATAATGAATCAGTAAATCCAAGATACCTATATCAGTCCTAGTTCAGTAGAGTGGAATGTGGGTAGTAGAACTAAATTTTAAGGTTGACTGTTTTCTTTTGCCCATGAGTTAAGAAAGTGAACATTCATGGGGCAGAAATTTCAAATGATGCATAAGAATATGCGTAAGTATAGTAAAACTGGTATGACGATGTAGTAGTTATATTAGTTATATCTTAATTTTTGTAAGAAAGAATATATCTGAAAAATACCACACAGAGGTATCCATGGAGTTGTGGTTGGCTAAGTGTCAGAAGAGGCTACAGTGAACTCCCGAATGAAACAGCTCAAATGAGCAACACTTGTCTTCATTCACCTGTGACGTAAATTGGCCCCAGCCGATCTCCGCTTGGATCTGACGGGCTTGAGGCAGTTTTTCCCTTTGGAAGGGGTCTCACTGCTTGCAATTTCTTAAAAGATAATTGAGACTTTAATAATATATCAGACTGTGAATAATATTTTAGGAATGTAATTATTTCTTGAAGTTATAGAACTTTGCTTACCTTCATGATTACTTCTTCAGAATAAATTCTTGAACTGAATGGAAATACACAGCATATAATTTTAAGGGCTTTTTACAAATATTATCAATTTATCCTTCAGAGAGATTAAAGAGACCCTCCTGTCTGTGCCGTCTGAGATGACTGTTTTTTCAGGACCCCATCCCATCTGGCATTGTAGTTTTTATTCTTGTGTACTGGTCATTTTCTACGGCTGAGACCAAGCTCCCGGTACACACAGTATAAAGGAGGAAGGGTTTATCTCCCTCCAAGTTTGTGGTTTCAGTCGATGGGCGCTGCCTCCGAGGCAGAGGCAGCATCACAGGTGGAAGCAGACAACCAGCTAGAGAAAAGGGGTGAGGAGCAAAAGCTCCCCTTCCGGGCTGCTCTCCCGGGATGCCTGCAGACAGCAGCAGTCACCTGTGGCCTCCTCAGCCGATCAGTGGGTGTCACATGCCCGTCACCCCCACCTCCCCAAAGCCCTGCCGCTGACACAGGACCCTCTGGGGGACATGCTAGACCTGAGCCATAGCAATTGCCAGTCGATGAATAAAGGATTATAATCGCATATGTTTTAAAGTGTAGATCTCTAGCTTTTCATTTCCCACTGCCTTTCAGTGTCATTTCACCATGTTAGGTAGAGTCAGCGTCTGTGGTTTGTAGGCTGTTGAGTAAAGAGCTGTCCCCAGCTGAGGGCAGAGCTAGCCGACCAGACCTCGTTCTACCAACATCGACTTCTGGGCAGCTGGAGAACTTACATCAGGTTTGCAGCTTTACTGTAATTATTCAGTGTTCAGTTTCACAGGTCAGTGTCTAGAAATATCTATATTACATGCATATAAATTTACATATATATTGAACTTTTGTTTTAATATTTAAATTTTGTTTTAACGTTTAAAATTTTGGTCAAAATTCCATTCTCATAATCAGTTTCTTATATTTAGAGATTTAGACTGAACTAAAATGTGGTCACTTCGCCCTTTGACATCCAGGTCATTCAGCAAAGAAATGAAGAGTGCGATCATACTCAATTTTTAATTGAAGAGAAAGAGTCAAAAGAAGAGGATTTTTATGAAGATCTCGACAGGTTTGAAGAAAATGGTACCCAGGAATCACGCATCAGCCCCTACACCTTCTGCAAAGCTTTTCCTTTCCACATAATATTTGACCGAGACCTCGTGGTCACGCAGTGCGGCAACGCCATCTACAGAGTGCTGCCCCAGGTAATCCCCAGGCGGAGGGTCCGCTCCTCGGGACTCGGTGCTGCGGCCCCACGTGGCAGTCACTCATTTTAGCCTTCGTGCAGGTGTCCGGCAGTACAGGACGTTGGCTAGAGCACGCGTTTGTAACCTAAGTGCATGGGGGCATACTGCAGCTTTAAGATGACTGTTCACTCATTCTGTAGTCGCTTACAATGAAGGAGGACATTATGTGACAGTAGTACTCTATATTTATTTATTGAGAAAGTAGGGAACATGCTAGCCATCAGCTGTCACTAATTCACCGTTGAGTAAAATCCATTATATATATTTGCCACCTAAAAACAGCTTTCAAAATTAACTACTAACATTTTCAGGGGGAAGAAAAGGAATTTGAAAACACTGACGAAAAAGTGATTGTCTTTTTGTTTAGTAGAAAAAGTACTCAGGGACAACTCTAGGGGTGCTGATGAGAGCCTACATTTGACTGTTACTCCCAAGACCACTTGAAAGTCCTGCCTTTTAACTTACACATTCTCTCGTCTCCCAGCCTTTGGAAATGTGCTCTACCCGCATCGAGAGGCACAGTAGTACTTTTTGTAGTTACCGAGACTCTCTAGTTCAGGATTAGCCCCACCCGGACGAGGCATAAAACTGCAAATGCGAGAGCAGAAGAGTGGGGGTGAGGTCGCTCCCTGCCCCTCACTGGGAGATGCGGAGGTGTCGCTCTGCTGCGTCTCCGCTGTTCTGACACAAGAGCGATCCCAGGAGGACCTCAGTCTCACGTCTCGTCCCGCATAAGCAATCACTGAACGTTACTCATTTTTCTTATTAGTAGCCCTTCCTGTGTAACTTTAAGGAAGTGTTGTAGGTGTTTTTAACATTTAATTTTAGTTTAAGTCCTAGGCATTTAATACATCATGCTACGTTTTAGAAGATGCATTTTCATCCTTTCTCTTTCTTAAAATATTTACTTGCATCAACTTATGTCCAAATACTCTCTATCTGAAGCCATACTAGATTACTCTTCGATGCCCAACTTACTTAACTGAGCTGCTCATTTGAGTCCAGAGTGGAGGTTAGTTTCTACACAACAATTAAGCTTTTCTGTTTATTTTAACCTGGGAAGTGCTCTATGGTCTTTATCTGCACTTTAGCTCCAGCCCGGCAACTGCAGCCTCCTGTCTGTCTTCTCTCTGGTTCGCCCCCACATCGATATCAGTTTCCATGGGATCCTTTCACACATCAACACTGTGTTCGTCTTGAGAAGCAAGGTAATCCAACTTTACTTCATTAAGTGTGTGTAATTAAGGTGCTACCACTTAGGAGTGATCAGGAGGGAAAATGATTTCCTGTTACTTTCTATGAGATGGAAAAATTAAAAGGGAATGAAAATCAGACATCAGAGACATCTGTTGAGCAAGCATTGCTATAGGTTTAGGGTTTTGATAAAGAACATGCAACTGTATGAGCTGATCAGAATGAGCAAAACTAACTTCTAGATTCTTGCTGGGTCAGCCTCATGTTATTTAATAAAACAACCCTCTTATTCCTGTACGGGTACACTGCCTTATTTTAGGAATCAGAAGAACATTTTTTTTTAACTTCATCCAAAGCTGGTGATTAATTCTTCCTTAAATTGTTTATTTTTCTTTATTATCCTATTTTTTTTTTCTTTTTTTGGTACTAGGAATTGAACTCACAACCTTACGCTTGCTAGGCAGGCGCTGTGCCACTGAGCTATATCCCTGGCCCTGTTTATTATTCTTGATGCCATTCTTTTAGGAAAATACAAGTGATAAAATATCCACCCAGCTGGTAATGGAGACAGTATCCAGATCTCAGAGTTTGTGTCCTTGGTGGGTTAACTGTAGCAAAACAACTTTCTTAGAGTTCACACTTCATACTTCCCACATCTCTCCAAAGCTGCATCCTCACATAGTTCTGTACTGGGACTGGCTGTTGCCAGCTGCTCTGTGAATACAGTGCTAGCTTGCTTTATCCTGTGGTACCCTGTTTCCCCCAAAATAAGACCTAGCCAAAACATAGTCACCTGGAAAGCCAGAGATCAGAAACGCCGGCCCCGGTCAGCCCACCCTGGCTGTAACTTCCCCCGCCTTCCTCTTGCTTGGTGTCTACTCTGCTGAGCCAGGATGGGCTGACAGGGCTGGCATTTCTGATCGCTACTTTTCCAGGCGATTATTCTCCGGCTAGGCCTTGTTACCAGGGAAATGTTATGCCATAGCCACCCATGAAAATCAGGGGTTAATGAGCATCACAAAATCTTGTATAAGTATGTGAACAGTAGCTGCTGCCGTCTGAGGTCAAAGGAGGTGGCCCACTGGCTTCGCCGCACGCTAACCCCCACCTGGTGCACTGTCTGCCTTCGGGTGAGTGCAGAATAAGATGCGAGTGTCCCCCTCGCTGACGAGTTGCCAGATGGGGACAAGCGCAGTAGTTAATGCTTGCGTCTTGTCTCTCCAAGGAAGGACTGTTGGACGTAGAGAAACTAGAATGCGAGGATGAGCTGACAGGGACGGAGATCAGCTGCTTACGCCTCAAGGGCCAAATGATCTACTTACCCGAAGCAGATAGCCTTCTGTTTCTGTGTTCGCCAAGGTAATCCTCTTGGACTCACTGTAACTGATATAAGCGCCCATCGCTGGTTGACAAAGGGTGTCAACCCTGTTCTCAGTATTTAATTTTGATTACAGTGTATTAATTGTACATATTCATGGGGTTCAGTGTGATATTTCATTTTGTGTGTACAGCACACACTGATCAAATCCACCCTCCCTTTATTCTGTGAAATTTTGTTCCATCATATATACCTATGCTAAGGAGTATTGGATTCTCCTGTCCTTATTATATAATTCTCTGTAACAAGCATGGTCTTATAGAATACTTATTAATAAACTCAGAAGAAGTAGCATATTTCATATTGCCACATCAAAGTCTATTTCTGAAATATTTATGCCATCACAACATGGGATAATTAATCTGCAGTTGACTAATGCTATACTTTTACATCTTCAGAAGAAGTGTCATGTAAATAAGCAATTCTACAAAGCACCTAAAATGGTGGCATAAATTCAAGGTATATTTGACTGTAAGGAATTAGCTTTTCTGTAGTATGGTAATAAAAATTATAAAAGTACTCTTATTTTTAGCCCTCAGATTCTTTTTATCAAAGGAGACCATCTGAGTTTTCAATAAATCCTTAGTGAAATCATAACCCAGTTTTTCTACTGAGAGAAATTATTATCTGAGTAGCTAGAAGTAGTTACTTGGTATTCAAATAACTCAAACTAATATCTTTAAGACATTTTAATCTATGAGTAACATATTTTAATAGCAATGAACTTTTCATTTACCAGATATTCACTGAATAAATAAACAATATTATGTTGCTCCACAAATTACTTAAATTACAAAGAGGCATAGAATTCAGCAAGGTCAAATAATGATTCAGAAAAATTGGAAAGAATTTACTAAAGAAAATAAGAATAGAAAAACTAAGCTAGATGTAAGAATAACATAAAAGTACATGCCAGAAAGGCTTTTAAGCATATCAAATACAAGTTGAAGATGTACTAAATCTTGCAAACTTCTAAACATTATGGCCAATGGGAGAAGCAGCCAATTACAAGATTGATAGAATCCACGGGCAAATAATGAACTAGCTTCTCAAAAGAAGTAATTACCACTGAGAAGAAAGTATAAATATTTTTTCCTCTTTTTGTAAAGAAAAATGATTGTATAATAAACACAGCCTTGTGTTAGAGATCTGGGAAGATTTCTCAGGGCAGTTTCCACCTTAACTTTCTGTAAAGATAGATAGCTCCACAAAATACACTTGACAAAAGTGTATCTCAAGTTCTCTGCTCTTAGGTGGAGTTTTAGATATCTGAGAAAACAAGGTCATCTTACGAATCCAGCTCTCCGTAACTGTTTTCTTCAGCCTGACCCTTGAAGGGAAGGACCTGGCAGGATGCGGCCCGGCTGGGTGTCCTGTGGCAGCGGGACTGACTTTGTCTCTTTCTTGTGTGTGACAGCGTGATGAACCTCGACGATCTGACCCGGAGGGGTCTGTATCTGAGCGACATCCCTCTGCACGACGCAACCCGTGACCTGGTCCTTCTGGGAGAGCAGTTCAGGGAGGAATACAAACTCACACAGGAGCTGGAGATCCTCACAGACAGGCTGCAGCTCACGCTCAGAGCTTTGGAAGATGAAAAGAAAAAGACAGACACGTAAGAATGTGGCTGAGGAGGTCAGGATTTTTATTCATAATGTGTTGCGAGCCTGGTACAATTCAGATTGATAGCCAGACTAAAAAGGCCGGGGACTTACTGTAGCTCTAGAGGAACAGACAAAAGCTTCTGCTTCATTATTTGTTCATTCGTTTGTCCATTCGTTTATTTATCCAGGTTTTGGTAATTGAACCCAGGGCGTCATGCGTGCTAGGGATGTACTCTAGCACTAAACTACATCCTGAACCCTACTTTGGTTTTGAAAAACATTGTGCATAAGGAAATAAGATCAGTCTTAATCATAGGAGAAATATGTATTCTAGTTTTACCAGATTAAAAGAATATATGTCAAAATGTCTCCATGAAAAATACGAGAGTAATTCAAATGTATAAAGTCCAGTTCCTCTTTTACTTGTGTATTTATTCATTCTTTCATGCAGTGGATGTACTGATCATCTCCACTGACCAGGTGTGGAGGGTTTTGCATACAATGTACTTATATTTTAAAAGACTTCTTTGCTTGAGATGTAAATTATTTCAGGGAGATGCTAACTATAATGTCATCTGCAAGTACAGTACATCCATGGTGACATAAATTAGTGAAAATATAAAAACTTAAAACTATCCTTTTGATATGAATGATAAACTAAATGATGAAATATAGGCACGTAACAAAGAGAATACATCCTTTTCAAGTTATAGATTTAAGGGAATGTCCGTCATACATACTACTTTTCCTTGCTTCTGTATATTAATTAAAAGCATTAAGTCCTTCCTGTGTATTAGAGCCTTTCCCTAGGTTCTGAGTGGTGCTAATATTTGTAAAGTAGGAGGCTATATTGTTGGAGCATTGAACCAAGGTCCCTCGGTTCACATTACAGCTCTCACTGTCCTTGAAAACGCTCAGGATTATAACAGCACCACTTTCTGTGCCTCTGGCACTGTTCCTGGGCAGATGCCATGCATATGTGCACATGAAAAAATACAGCAGTTCATCTTATTCATAGCATGGTTGAAATAGAGGACATGGGTGTAAATATAGGTCGGTATCCACGACTTCATATTGATATGCCTTGGCCTTTTATACTGAAGCAGAAAGCTATGGTCAGTTCCTTTGAGACTACTTTACCTTTCTCCTGGCCCTGAACTCCACACAGTTTAGTCTGTCCATGTATTTTGCAAATGCCAGAACAAAGGCTCCCATTTCTTGAAAAACAACTAAAAGTATATGTTTTATTGGCATGTGGTGCAATTCCATCCAGGTAAAATTACACTTTTTATGGAGCTGTTATGACCACGCCTAGAAATATGGTTCACAGTCACACAGGTTTGTAGTTTGAGTTCCTCAATATCTTGTCGGCCTCTTGTATTAGGAAGCTCCTCAAGTTTCATTTTTTATTGTGACTCAGTATTTTCTAGTGTCTGTATTTGTACTTTTGTCAGTCAGTTTTCCATTACTGTCACACATACCTAAGAGAATCAGTTTAAAAGGAGGAAGGTGAACATTGGCTCACAGCTTCCGAGATTTCGGTCCATGGTTCTGTGATTCTGTCGCCTTTGTGCATATAGCAGCACAGTATATCATGCTAGGAGCACATAGCAGAAGAAGCTTCTGGGAACCCAAAGAGGGGAAGAGACCAGCTTCCAAATATCCCCACGAGGGCATGCACCCCTCACCTATATGACTCTTTTTTCCAGTCCCCACTATTTCCCAGTAGCACCACCGTGCTTGGGCATTTGGGGGACATTTAAGGTCCAAACTGTAGCAGCAATAAACAGATAACTAATTGATACTCTAAAAAAATGCAATTTAAAGTGTAATAAATACTCACAATTTATATACTTACAATTTAATGTGTAACAAATACTCATGTATTTTATATTTTATTGAAAACCACACTTAATTCCCTTTCCCCCTAAATCATCAGTGTAAGCAAGGTTGACTTCTCTCACTCGAACAGGAGTCCAAAGCAGGGCCCTTGGCCTGGAAGGAGTGGCTTGTCTTCAGTATGAGTTGCTTGCAAGTGCTCAACCCAGCACCCTTCCTTTGTGTAGGCTTCCCAAGGTGGACTCCACTTTCTGAATCTTTTTGTGCTGCTTAGAATTATGGTGCCTGAAGAAGCCTCATATTTTTGAGAATGTGAGATTAGAATTAGACTTTTCACAACTATTTGATTTCAAGGTGATTTCATCACAAACCATTTATTACTGATTTTCTTTAAAGCGAACCAGTTCTGCTGTTCACCTTTAATCTTCAAATGTAACCTTAGTATTTTACAGTATGTTCTCTGCTTTGATGTTAAAAATAATGAGAAAACCCACCGGGGCCAGGGAGAAAATGGAGATCTCAGCTCCATTCTCTTGTGTTTAAGCTTCGCTTTTTGCTCTTTCGAACAAGAGATAAGAAGGCCGCATTTGTTGCTGATTTTTGAAATTAAAAGCTGTCATTCCCGTTAGTGACAGCTTCTCTCCTTCTGAATCCGTCGGCTCTCCTCCTCCCGTGTGCTGACTGACTGTGTGTGCTTAGCGTGCCACTCTAGTAACCCCAGTATTTCCTGCAGAAGGAAAGTATTTTCTCATCTAGAGCAACACCTGCTTGTTTTTATCACTTACTTCCGTGGAAGAGTGAGGTCTGCCCAGGCTGGTGAGCAGCTCCACTTTGTGTACTGCGATGTTACAAGGATGGAGCTAAACTGCTTATTCCCGAAGGGGTGTACGAGTCTGCGGTCACTCTATTCACTCAAGGTTTTAGGTGCTGATCATGACCATGTTCATACTGTGGCTTTCATAACACAAGAGTCGGAATAGAGGACCTCAGATGATAAATACGAGTTTCAGTTACTGTCAGTCCTTGGTTTTCTGCTTGATTGATCGGCTTCTTTTGCTTTGGTTTGAATTGGCTTGGGTTTGCAGACATAGAAGATTAGAAAAATAAGTGATTTCCGTGTTCCTTCTCTGTCTCCTTTTCTCTTTCTCTGTCTCTCTCTGTCTCTCTCTGTTCTCCCTCCTCTCTCTCCTCTGTCTGTCACCCTGTCTCTCTGTCTCCTCTCTCTCTTCTCTCTCCTTTCTGTCTCTGTCCCTGTCTGTCCCTGTGCCTGTCTGGCTGTCTGGCAGGCTGGCTAATTTTATAAGGCATCCTGTCAGAATCCAGAGTGAATGCATGGGCGCCCTGTGAAGGCTAGCGGAAGCACTGCTACACGTATGCCCAGCGTTTCTCACTGAGGCTCTCTCCTCATGCCAACAGACTCTTGTACTCTGTCCTCCCCCCATCTGTTGCCAACGAGCTGAGACATAAGCGTCCAGTGCCTGCCAAAAGATACGACAACGTGACGATCCTCTTCAGCGGCATCGTGGGCTTCAATGCTTTCTGCAGCAAGCACGCATCCGGAGAAGGCGCCATGAAGATTGTAAACCTTCTCAACGACCTGTACACCAGGTTTGACACGCTGACTGATTCTCGCAAGAACCCGTTTGTTTATAAGGCAAGTCCCCCTCAGAGCACACTGCGATGGTCTTTGGAGCTCGGGCTTCTAAGCATCCCCTCCCTAAGCCACTGTGGCCACAACCCTGGTCCACTAAGCTGCCTCGTGGTCATTTGTTATCCTTTCCTTAAATAGTTATCTCTTGTTACTGCTTTTTTTTCCTTGTTGCCAAAATGAATGTTTTATGGAATGGATGACTCCCCGGTTAGCAGCTTATTTGCACTTAGGTCAGCACATCTGTGCAGGTTGTTTATCACATGTAGTGTAAACGTAGCCTTCATCCGAGTGCCCAGCAAGAGACATTCTTTCTGAAATGTGTAAATATTTGGCCCTGAAAGAAGTCCTGGAGCTCAGGAAGGGCCCTGGGACTCAGGTTTGACTTTAGATAACATCACCATGAAGATAAACATTTACAAGGCATTGCTGCCCTTTGTTTCAGGGAGAAACCAATGCAATAATGGAAAAGTGAAGTGAGTGGAATATTGCTTTATAAAGGCAGGAATGCGAACCAGACCAACGCCCGCCCCCCGGCCACTGGGGTGATACCATTTCACAGGGGCTGTTTCTTGCAAAGACATTTTCTGAGACAGGGTGGCACTTGGTGAGCATATCATAGAAATCAGTGGTTAGAGGCCAGGATAAATCTCTGAACTTCAAGCTGTGCCCTTTGTGCCTTCAAACTGTCATTATTTTAGGGCAAAATCGGGTCATTTATTTCCTGCATTATGAGGGGATCCCAGGTGGGAAACTAATTGCTTACTAGAGGGAAAATAATTCCGTGTGCATGTGGCCGTAGTCAGACACTTAGTGCCAACTGTGTAAATTCCAAGTAATCGCAAAGTTTCGTCTTGGTAGAATTCTATCAAGATTTCAAGAAAATTAAGAGGGGGGGAGTGTTTAAAGTTGCTGATAACCTGGGAATTTTTTTTTTATCAGAGTGGCATGTGAAACAGTCACTTTAATAGCCACCAATGAGCCTCTCCCTTGTGTGCCATGTCAGGTGGAGACCGTTGGGGACAAGTACATGACCGTGAGCGGCCTACCAGAGCCGTGCGGCCACCACGCACGGTCCATCTGCCACCTGGCCTTGGACATGATGGAAATTGCCGGCCAAGTGCAAGTCGATGGAGAATCTGTGCAGGTCAGTGGACCATGTAGGTGGAAGGCTTTGTGGATTCGTACACTTGATCAAAAATCATTCACACATACAAGGAAGGACCACTTGAGAAAAATAGAGAGCAAAATTTTACTGAACCTGAGGGTTACTTTTTATAGAAGTGATATATTTCTTCTTATTTTAAATGATCTAGTCTCTTCCATGTACTGAAGGTCATGAGGATGAGATTTAAAAAGAAAACCCTTCTGCCTTATTGTTCGCAATCCTTTTCCTTTGCCTCATACGGCTTACCCAGTTCACATCTAGAACTCTTCAAACTCCACTGTTTCTGTTGAGACAGAATGTTTCTTGGGAGATGTGTACCTAGTGAGGGGTTTGGTGCTGTCTGTAAAACCTTCGGAGTTCTCAGATTTCTTGTTTGTATGTGATGATTCTATTTTATTCTGTTATGCAAATTAAGTCAAAGTGTGTGTGTGTATGTGTGTACGTGCATACACCTGCACGCACACACACACACACACACATGCATGTCATTAAGGTTGCTGAAGCAAGGCTTTGGTTTCTGCAGATAACAATAGGAATCCATACAGGGGAGGTGGTGACAGGTGTCATCGGACAGCGGATGCCTCGCTATTGTCTCTTTGGAAACACTGTCAACCTTACCAGCAGAACAGAAACCACAGGAGAAAAGGGGAAAATAAATGTTTCTGAATACACATACAGGTAGGAGAAAACCTCTTGCTGCTCACCACGGGGCAGGGTAAGTGTGTCTTCTTTGTGGGTCAGTGCTGAGTAATCTTGTGCAGGCTAGAGGGTTCTCTCCTCTACTCCTGGGCTCCATGTTTAGCTTTGTTTTTCATTTGAGAAGGTTGCGTCATTGTTCCCACTTTCAATGAGCCATGCCACCCTAGGAATTCCTGATGTCACCGTTGTTACTGTGCCCTCCACTGAAATTTAAAGAGGGCTGGAGAACTCTTGCCCTCTCAGTAGGTAACTTGTCTCTTTCTCCTTCTGTCCCTGCCCCCACACTGTCTTTCAGATGTCTTATGTCTCCAGAGAACTCAGATCCACAGTTCCATCTGGAGCACAGAGGCCCAGTGTCCATGAAGGGCAAAAAAGAACCAATGCAAGTTTGGTTCCTCTCCAGAAAAAACGCAGGAACAGAGGTATGAGAGATGAGTCTTGTTCTGCCTTTTAAGACTGAGTATAAAATTGGGAGTTTAATCATAGCCATTGAAATATGTTTCATTTGAGGAGAATTCCTGCTTACAGAGGTTAACTCTTGGTCAGCTGGTAGATGTAACTGAAGCATTACTGAGCCAGTTAGAACAATAAAGACGTTTTAGGGGATACTGTGTGATTGCCAGATTTTGTCCTTTTATGAAATTAAAACCAAATCCCGGGCTGAGGAGGCCTGTGCTTTTGTTCCTCCTCTGCGCTGTGGCTCCAACATGGCCGTTGCTCCAACATGGCTGGCGTCAGTGGGCCGTGGGGAGACGCCCGGCCCCCCTCTGTGGCTACAGAGAGCTGGAGGCGGGACCACCACTGGGACTAGGTAGAGACTGCATTTCACGGAAGACTTCTTTCTTAGCCATGAAGTTTTAGATCTTTCTAAGAGCCAGAGCATCTCCTTGTGGGGTATGGTGGGATTTTGTAAAATTCAAGTCCCTCGTGAGTTTCTTCAGGAGGCTCGAATGACATATACTCTGCCAGGTTTGGATAACTCCTCAGGGAACCTTTAGGTTGTTAGGAGCACTGTGCTTCTGCCCCAGGCAGAGCCCAGGCCTTGAGAGCACCAGAACCCCCAGCTCCCCACAGTGGGGCTGTGCACACTCCTATCGGGCCAGGCCTTCTCCTACTCAGTGGGCTGCCTGGACGCAAGGGTGACCTTTTGTTCCCCTGTGGATGTCTTATCTCTTTAAGGCAGTGAGATTACTTAGCACGTTTTTTTCTATGCGTGTCTACACTCTTTATTACATTTTTTTACCTATGCATGTCTACACTCTAAAAATTCTTTTTGAAAAGAACAAAACAAGTCCTAAAGGATACAGAATGCCACGTTTGCGAATGTTCATCTTCTTTGGACTGTTTTGACTTGAAATCATTTCCCTGTGTGGCTGGCCTGAGTACTGATTCTCATGAACCACATTACTTCACTCAAGAGTTGGTGATCCCCACTGGGCAGCCTGAAGAGTAGTTTCACCCTGAATTATGGTTGGAATGGATGATAGAACATTATAGATAAGAATGCAGACCCTATTCTTAGAAAGAAAAATATACACGAACAGGCTTTCTTACTCCAAATCAATATCCTCTTTCTTCTGTTTTTCAAAGGAAACGGGCCAGGAGGATAACTGAATCCAATTGCCGACTAGGGTTTCTGCCTGGTGTCTCCTGACCCATGCTGAGCTGAGGAGCAATTCCGCCCCTGCATACAGACGTCGCTGTCCTCTTCCGTTATCCAAGCTTTTCTCCTAGATGGATCTTGTGCTGTCTGTTATTTAACACTAGCTCTGCTTTTGAGTATTTCTGTGGTTTTAGTATATTATCAGAAGTTTGGCTTCTAATGTGAGTATTGTGAACTTCTGTGTCTTCAAGTCCACTATGAACTTTATCTAAACTGGTGATCTGCCCGTAGTAGCCACCCAATAAATATTTGTTGAATTAATTAAAATATTTGTTGAATTAAATGAAACTGAACAGTATTTGGCACTAAATATATGCATATATATATATGGTTTACCAAATCTGCTTAATGCTCCATATATATATGCATGTATGTATATTTTAATGACTATAACGTAGAACAAAGTTTATATCATGTTGGTGTATATTGTTGTAGAAATCATTTTCTAAAGGATGAATTCTAAGTTTTAGGGAAATGCAATTTATTTTGAAATGTCTGAAGAATTATTATACCATGCTAAGAAAAGAGTGACTATTTTGAAGTATGCTAACTTTCCTTTGGGAATATAGAATGTACATTCTTGTTATTAAAGCGTTTGGTTGCTGATTCAAATCGCTCGGCAGTTGCAGTTTCTCTCACAAACTACCATTTGTACCGCCTCCCTTGTGCTCATCACAGTAGCTGCGTGCAGCTATTACAGAACGATGTGCTGTTTTGCAGTAAGCTATTGAATTAGCTTGGGCTACCTGATAGAGCCCCTAATCATATCCAAGAATAAGGCTGGAAATACATTGTCCCATACTGCATCTAGAGCCATTCTTCCTGGCTTTCCTTCCTAGAAATTAGCCTCCTCTTCCTAGCTTAGGAAAATGTGATTTTTATCCAAGCATCACACTCAGAAAGTAGTTTAATTTCAGTGCAGAATGCATTCCTATTGGAATAATTGGCCTGTTCTAAAACTGTCTCTGGTAATTTATTGATACCTATCTTTATACAATATAGTGCAGATACCTTTGTGTAAAAATGCATCTCTTTAAATTTAGTATTTCATATCAATATATCAATATATGTATAAATGTTCCATGTTAATGTGTAAAAGAATCTGCAATAAATTATTTTTTTCACTTGTCTCTAGATGATTTTTATTTCACTAACATATATGTGTATATCTATATATCTTGAACTGTGAGTAATTTGTCCTGTGAGTATTCCAGAAGAATAAACTTTAACTTGATAAATGAGTGGTGTCTTGCAGTATGAGTAGTATGTGATGCCAGACATCAGCTGAGCCATTGGCTCCTCTCTCTCTCGCTCTCGCTCTCTCTGCAGGATGATGGGTGATCATCTCCCAACAGCAAAAGGTTGTGGAGGAGATCTTGTCTGTCTTGTCTTTGCATCTGCAGAGAAGGAGGTGAAAAAGGAGAGGGATCCTTCAATTCAACTGAGATTAGGGAGATATGTAAAAGGTGGGAAATGGTGAAAAATTTTGTAAAAAAGCACCACCCAAACAAACCTGTAGCAGCGTGAGCAATGAATCTGCTTAACAACAATGCAGTGTCTCATTTCCATGTGATCCTAAAAAGGAGGCCAAGGCAAGTGCCATTGGATAGGTTCTATGTTAAAGTTGTATGTAAAGGAAAAGATTCCGTTGAGCCACTAGGCAGCAGTGATCACAATAGTGAGAGTGAGAGTCATCCTACACGGTCACCCTCCTTTCTCTTGTTTCCCTCACACCAGCCGGAAAGGTTTTCAAAAGGTAAGTGCATGTTAAATTGTTGTTTCTTCTTTATGTTTAGTATTTTCTTTATTATTTTGTATTATATTGTAGTGTTGTGATCATTTTGTATGAATATTTTTGGGTTGTGGAGTAAATCATCTGAGTTTCCATTACCTCTTATGGGGAATTTGCTTTAATTACAAGCATGTTTCAGAATGAATTGTACTCACAAATCAAATCAAGATATATATATATATATATATATATGTATATATATATATATATATAGAGAGAGAGAGAGAGAGAGGTGCTGAGAACCAAACCCGAGGCCTTGTACGTGCTCGTTGAGCGCTCCATCACTGAGCTGCAGCCCCAGCCCATGTAATACATTTTTAGTGGCTTCTCCTAGGACTATTCCTAAATGTTCTTCTTTCATACCAAGAAGTTGACAGAAAAGAAAAGGCTAGACATGGGAGGAATATACAGATAAATTTAAAATGGCATTGACTTAACCTATAAAAGCTCACAAGCCTTCAGGAGTTGTAGACGTATATACAAATAACTAAAATATTTAATATTTGTATGATAACGTGGTAAAGATTAAGAAAGAGTACTTGGAGTAGCTTGAGAAAACAGGATGCAGTTGGGCAGTTCTGGAAGATTCCGGAGCCACAGTGATCACGTCTTCTCAGGCTCCAGCACACCTGTACTGAGTGTCTCCTGGTGGCAGCAGCTACTCTGGGTTTTGGGGCGCACCGTGGTCAGGATCTCCAGTGCCTCCCGGGCCCGTGTGTTGAAGACACCCAGCTGGAAGGCGGCTGAGCCATCGAGAGCGGGCGCGGAGGGAGGAAAGCGCACCGGGTGCACCCAGCTTTCACCTGAGAGCCAGCGGGAGGTTCGTGGGAGAGCAGTTGAGGTTCAGCATTAGCAGTGCTTGGTAATTTATGGGCTAAAGGAGGTGAGGGAGTCAGAAGCAAGTGGAGGGCTCTGGCCCGGACAGTGGTGGATGTCTGTACCACTGCACGGGGCTGCATTTAGAAAAGGCGCTTCTTTCCCCTGGAGTTATGAGAAAGATGACATGATTGCATATGGGCTTCAGTTACTGTGAATACATTTTTAAAAGGGAGCGCTATTTTATGTAGGTGGTGTTGGTATAGGCAGCTGGATTAGACAGAAATATTAGAAATATTATAGGCAGTCAGACAGGGCCAGGCGCTCAGAGCCAGTGTGCAAGATGAGATACCTTGCAACTGTGGGGGAGACAGACACCTCCCGCTGTGAACATAAGATTAAACAGGTGTGCCCACGTACTTCCCTAGGGATGGACCTCAGGAATAGATTTTCTAAATAGGTAGCAATCACCTTGAAAAAGCCAGGAAGAGTCACTAGCCCAACCCCTTACAGGAAAAGCCCCTGTTCTGTATTTCTGCCCGCTTGCTACGTGACTCGCTTCTCCATTTGATCCCAGTTTTAATCAATTTTACCTAAACAATTACACTTGAGATCTTATTGCCTGATCATAGTTTTGTCCCACCTCAGGCCCACCTAGCAAGTTCCCATGTTTTCCATGTTGGACTCGCCTCACCTCAAGTGTTTTTGTTCTGTAAAAGTCCCTAGAAAAGACAGGCTCCTGGGCAGCCCACTCGGGCCCCCTTCTGCCCCTCTCTCGGACACAAGTTTTCTTTCCCTCAATAAACATATTCTGCTCTTAACCTCCATTGTTCCTAAAATTCATTCTTTGATTTTACAGAACACGAACTTGTCCCAGATATCTTTCAGGGTGGGAGTTTCTTTCCCCTGTATCAGCATGAGTTAAACAGCCAGTTAAAAGGTTTTTGACTGTAGTAAAGTCACCTAACTTTTCTGTAACTTGGTTCTTTTATTGTAGAGCTGAGTACCAACCCAATAACAGGTTGCTGGTAGATCTAATTAACATATGAAGAAATGGTTTGTTCTTTTGGGAATACTGGAAAGGAAAGGTACACAATGTATTTTGCAAATCGTTAATAACACATCTGCTCAAAGCTAAATCATGATCACACGGGCCATGAAATCACAAGAGCAGCAGTAAGAGAAATTGGGGAACACACTTTTTACTTTGCTCAGTCTTGACACAATCGCAGTGAAAATCACCAGAAAGGACTGCTAACTTCTACTAGTTCACCGAAAGGAACAGTTAGTGCTTGTATTCTTTGATCAATTTTGCATGCCTGTATCTGGTAATCTGAGCAACTACCCTGCGGATATCAATATGCAGTATAATAACCACCGTTAATTTCATATCATCTTGTTTTAAAATTCTGTATCTTTCTTTCTCTCTTTAAAATAAAAAAGTAAAAAGGATTGGGGTTGTAGCTCAGTGGGAGAATGCTTGACTTCCATGCTTCAGCGTGAAAAACAATAAAAACAATAAAAACTACCAAAAAAGTAAAGCTAAATGTTACGAAGAAGTTTACCAGCTTAATTTGAAGGGATATGTACATGTTTTTAACTTTACAATTGAGTATATATAATTGTATTTCAGAGCCAATTTTTATTTCAGAACTAATTTTTATTTCATTTTATTTAAATCTGGGCTGATTGATTCAGCAGATGATCTGTCTTCAGTGAAGAGTGAGAAATAATCTGTTTTGCTGTCCTCACTAAGGTCTCATCAAACCTCCAGGGGGCAGCAGAGGACGCTGTTTGTTACTGAAGGCCAGAAAAGATAAGCACAGGACAGATTTTTCTCATAGGAAAGCTCTCCCTCTTGGCTATTATGTGATGTCACTTCCTGTGTGCCCACTTGAATTCATTCCTACTCTACCACAAGTTCAAAAAACGATGAAAAGTAATTACCATTCATAGTATCAAATCCACTCACACATACCTCGTTCAGAAATGGCAACAAATTATTACCTGCTAATTCTATAGGAAGCTATAAAAATTTACTAAAGCAATTAATAATAGAAATAATAGTGCAGTGTCATAATGTCGAAGTAACATGAGGCTCATGTTAAAAGCTATCAAATGTACATAAGTAAATACTGTTTATTTACAAGAGTAAATATATAAACTTTATTTACAAGAGTAAAAATGCACAAGAATGTATTTTAAAAACTCTTTAATTTGCATTAATAAAAACAAACATTTGTGATTTTTCTTTGCAACTTCTGTCAAGAAGAATATGATGAAGATGAACAGACCACCACCCCAGAGAGAGGCTCCAGAGCCTATCTTTAGCGATGGCAATACCACCCTGTAACCTTCCTTTAACTTATTAGGACTCAATTTCTTAATCTATTAAAAAAGAAGCTAATATCAAAATTGCATAATTTATTTTGCTGAAAATGCCAGATCATTTGCATTATGATTTGGCTTGGTCATTTTGGAATAAACCCTAAAGTTTAGCCATGCAGGGACGGTGAGTAGATTACTGAGTGATTCCAAAGCTTGCTCCTAAGAAATTAATCTGAATCAAACTTCTGGTGAAAACGCGATCCCAAGTGAAATCAGAATGACTAGCCACAGATTCTTGTGAGTGTATGTCTCTGGCACAAATCCACGCTGTAATTTTACCTAATTACACTTAGTAAATTCATATTCTTTAATGAAAAGTTGTGTGTTTGATTACCTAATACAGGGGAGGAATTTGTGTCTTCATCCAATTTACTGTGCTCCAGTTCAAACAGTGTCTGCAGTACAGTTAATCTCAAATGGGGCTTCGGCACCCAAGTCTCCCATTTATCCTTCTGAATAGAAAACTGTTTCTCAAAAACTAAGGATAGGAAGTGTCAGTGTTACTTAGAGGCTGGGTTTTGTTATTATTAGTACATTTTATTGCCCATTTTCCAAAACGTTGGTCACAATTGCCTACCAAACAGTTTTTGATCATTCAGAGGGAAACGTTATGTGCAAGTAAAATATTAGTGTATATTTTTAAAAATCCATAAATATATTTTTTGTGGTTCTGCATCATATGAATAAACTTCACAGATGCCCATAAAGATAATGTACTCACGCAGTTCTGGACAATGAGAGTGCCTAAATGCGGGATTGCAGTTGCTGGCAGGTTTTTTTTTTTTAATTTTAAAGAGGAAAAAAACCCAAAATTCCAAAACAAGGTAATAAGAGAGTAACAATGGTTAATACATTGCATATTTTTATCTTTTAATTAGTCACTCAGAGTATATCAGCATTTAATTGTCCAAACAATATTAGCACAAACCTTTCTTTTCAATGAACTAAGAGAAATTAGTACTTTAGCTGTTTTAAATATATATATGTGTGTATATATGTATATATTTTTTCTTTTTCCTTCTTTCTTTTCTCCATTCCCTCATCCCAGTTTCTCTTTCCTTTTGAAGTTTCTTCACATTTTACAATATCTATTGTACAGTTTGGGTCTTATTTACTCTTTCAGCTTCTCACACT